AACACGCAAGGATTCTGTTTTACAGAGACAATAGCTGGTCCTTAAACAGAGCAGAGGAAGGCAAATTTTGATCTGCACATCCCGCTGGACACTAGAAAAAAGCATGGAATAGTACCGTAAGGAACAGATGCAGTAGTGTGTTTTAGTGGGTGCCAAAACATAGCAAAATAAAATGTGAGGGGAGCAAAAGGCATAAGTTGTTTTGCATTCTTAAATTTCTCTTTTACAGCAATCTTAAATTTCTTCTAGAGAAAAATATTTCACTTTCCAGGGTAAGGGTACTGGCTCAATCAATCCTTTATTCCTCTTGCTAGTGGCAGAGGATATATTTTATTTTAATTTAGTAGCTGTGCAGCCTTGGGCAAGTTACTTAACAACTCTGCCTCACATTCCCAGCTGTATAATGTAGGACAATAATAATACCTGTTGTTGTCTGTGAACATTAAATAATATTATAAGGTATTTAGAACAGTGCCTGGCACATAGTACATAATTTATCTTCAGCCCCACATAAAGTCATTATTTTTATTTATTTTCTAATGTATAATATCTACTTTCTGGATCAAAGAGAATGGTCATAGAGACAATGATTAAGGATGTTTAAAATTATGCCTCTCATAGTTTTCAGAATATAAACTTCCTCTAGGTATAATAAACAGAATTGAGAGACACTTCTTGAATATAATATGGCCCTTGTCTCCTGTTGTAACGTCTTCTAAAGTATTTCAAAGGATTTCAATAACACCCACAGGTTTGGGTCTGAACATGGTTTCATTATAATTGCACTGTTTTATTTATGTTTGTTTCTCGGATCTCTCTAGAAGTTTTCAGGAATCGGACTTGTTCCTCTCTGAAAGAAGGTCACCTCTATTCCTCTTTAAAGAACTAGAGACTGTTCTGCCCTTTGCTTGTCTGAGATGAGGCCTGGATCCTCACCTTTTCATTTGTTCTCCACCAAAGGGTTCTAATAAATTGTGTCATTGCCTTTGGGGGCAGCCAGTCAGTTGACTTTGCCTGAGTCCCTTCTCACTCTGGATCCCTGCTCCATGATGTTCTTTCTTTAGACTTTTTTTCCCAGCAGCTTTAGATATCTACATACCTTCTCAATCACTCTGCTTTACCAATTAAACACTGTTAATCATTCCTCTAATGCAAAACTACATTGCTTTGATCATCTGAGTTGCTTTTCTCTGCTCTCATTCTAATTTGCTTCTGTACTTCTGGAACTGAGGTAGTCATCCTTTAACATGAAATTAGTTATAATTTGTTACTGAAGTGATTCTGTCAAAGGATTAAAAATAAATTTTAGTAAATCACTTTTTAAAAATGAAAATGCTAGAAGTCCTCTAATTATATAAAATATTAATTTAATGCTTCCTGAATGAGTCTGGCTAAAGCTACAAGAAAGCAACAACTTGTCAGTAAAGAAACTATCTCTAGACAAGCTAATAGCTCTGATCTATTCATTTATTCATGCATGCATTCATTCCTCCAATATTTATTGAGCATCTACTATGTGCCAGGTACTTTCAGGTGCTGAGAATACCAAAATGGATGGAGTATGCATTTTTTTCCCTCAAGAAGAGAAGACAGTAAGTTGAACAATAGAAACTTATTATAAGAAAGAGTGAACATTTGTGTAAAGTGACAGGAGGAGACTGAAGGAGCAACCTCTTGCCTTGGCACTTGGTTCAGAAGGGGGCAGAGACCCAGATATGCGATGGGGAGGAAGATGCCATGGAGAGGAGGCAGGGTGTGGCCCTGCTCCCTCATTGTTGAAGCTGAAACAATCTCTAATTTAATCTCTGATATTTTCAACTCAATTGTTGAACATAAATCATGTACGTATGTGGCTGAGGAAGCTTCGAGGATATAGGAAAGCGGGGGCGGGAAACAAAGACAAACAGCCCCAAATTGCTAGCAAGCAACAGAGAAAGATATCCTAGAAAATACATCCAGATTACAGCTGTTCCATGGACACAATATCAGTCACAATATCAGGAAGCCCTCAATATTTGCTCTTGTACCCAATGCACAAGTCTCCATTTGCACATTTACCAGACACTAGGTTAGATTGGTGTTTGTTAGAAATAATTCTTGATTCAGGGCTAGAATAAATGTTTGCCAGAGTCAGAGCAGAGCAGGCCTGAAGTCAGCCAAGCCAACCAGTATCCTTGATAGAAGGCCACCTGGCAAAGTGGTGAAGTTTACTCTCTGGAGTCAGGAGAGCCAGGGTTTGAAATTTGACAATGTCACCAACCAGCTGTGTCACCTTGGGAAAGTTCATGCTTCTTTCTACAGCCTAGTTTTCTAATCCATAAAATGGGGATAACAATAGGTCCTATCTCTGTGCTTATCACAAAGCAGGGACCTTCAAAAATGGTAGACGGTACATTTATTGTGACAAAAGAATGTGGGTGCTATAGATTAGCTGCACAATTAAGGTAAAAGTCAGCATTTTAAATATTGTTGACAAGTTATTTACAACTTGGAACTGCCCCCCCCCCCCCCCCAACACCCTGCTTATTTTTTTTCTCTGTCACTTTAAGACCATTTCCTTCCTCCCTTTTTCTTTCTCCCTCTTCTGTGTCAGGCTCTGTGAGCATCCTTTCTGGGACTAATTCCCATCCCATCTGTGCCTTCTGCCTCCATCAGTCCCAGGTCACATTTGTCCCTGTCTGTGCCTCCCAGAGCCTGGATTCAGCTCCGTCAGCCAGTAAGGGTGTCTGGAACTTGCCCCTAGCTTTTTCTGCATCAATCTTTGTGAATGCTGACAGCAATAAATGCTCATTCACATTCTTGATAAAAAATAATTTGAATTTTACTGGATGATCAGCTCCACATGAGTGAAGTAGAGTCCAGCTGGGGTGTGATGGTCAGAAAGTCTGATATAGCTTGAGTCCCCTTTCTAAACGGTGAAGTAGGAGGAGCACAGCATTGGGGGCTCTGGCTCTTTCATTGGCAAATCAGCTCCCTGTTTTGTTCTGGGCCTCAGTTTCCTGTTCTGTAAAATGCAGGTCAGACTCCTAGGTCCTGTAGCCAAGACCTTAGTGATTCTATAAAGAGCTCTGTTTGCTGACATTCAAAACACCTCTACAGAGTGTTAAGATGTGTCCTTATCAATATCTGTGCATAGGAGTCAAACTGGCAGCTCCAAGGACCTTGGCTGAAGTTGGTCCATTTGGATGGGTGTGCTTGTTTCTGCAACGTCCTGAATGACTGTGAGAAAGGGCTTCAAAAGGCTTCGTGTGAGCAGACTCGATTTACTTTACACCACTGTGCAATTTTAAGCATATCACGCATGTGGCTTTTTGAAGGAGTGTCTAAAATCAGGATCCTGTATGTGAACTAGATGTTCAATGAAATCATATTTCACTAACATCTCCCTTATTATCATATTGCTTCTTTCATCAGCACATCTTAGACATACCTACTGCTTCTTTGAAGGTAAAACTTATGGCCACTTTAAAGGGTCTGAGAAGCTGAGTGATGTGATGGTGATTACAAAGAAACCTCCACTGAGCTTGCTCTTGAAACTTCTATAATTTAATTTTCAGGCCACACATACAACAGCTGGCAATTTTCTTGCAAGGAGTGCTTATTAATCATATTGGCATCATCTTAATCTGGGTACCTGGTAAGATGACCAGATTTTCTTGGTTTGCCTGGGAATTTTCTGATTTTAGCAGTGAAGGTCCTTTAGCCAAGGGACTCCTTAATCCTGGAGAAACCAGGACAGTTGGTCACCATAATTCCTAGGGTTCTCAGATTTTGGCCTATACAAGAATCAACACATGTGATTATTAAAACTGCAGATTTCTGGGATGGGCGATTCTGGGCCAAATGTTCTCCTGTCGCATTAAGAAACGCTGGTAAGAACTTATGTTTACTATTCTTGGTACTTGGCATTTAGCTACCAGTGATTCTTAAACTAATCTGCAAATTAGAATCGCCTGGGGAGCCTTTAAAACATACCAATACCTGGACTTTACCCACATCAAATTAGACTCTCTTGGGGGTAGGGCCAGGCATTCAGATCCTATTTTTAAAGCCCCTTCTTATCCCAAGATAACCAGCAGCAGACAGAGAATTCTGACATAATGGCCATTAGTTACCACTCAATTCACAGTGCTAAAAATCTCAGCTGCCACCTGGCTTCAGCCCCTTCAATTTCTATTATTTCCTCTCCTAACATAATACAGGAAAAAATACTTTGGGGTGCAAGGTGGCATCATCTGCTGAAACTGAGGGCAATATTACTTCTAGGTACAAAGCCTAAAGAAACTTTTGGAAAAGTGCATAAAGATGTACAAGAATGTTAACTGTTACTTTGATTGTTATAGCCAAAACCTGGAAATAATCTAAATGTCCATCAACAGGAAAGTGACTAAGTAGAGTGTGGTGGTAGATTCATATTTTAAAATACGACACTGCAGTGAGAATGGTGAATCATAGCTCCATATGCCAACATCAGAACAAAGTGACCATAAGTTTTTTTTTTTTTTTAAGTTAGAGGCTGCTGTGACTGACTTCCTAGGGACTTGGAGGTTTCACTTTGGAAGGCAGGTTTTCTTGTAACAGGGGGTTCCTGAGTGTGCACTAACTGTGACAGCAGTAAAACTGGGTTGCATAGCATAGATGCCACCTTCCAGCTAGCAGTGCTCATTTTGTCTATTCTGAGGAAACAATTTCCTCCTGGTATAGAGATAAATCCCACAAGAATTAGGTAGTGTTGCTGGATGTTAAAATATCTGCATTGCAATCCAGAAGCTGCTCAGACTTGACATCATTTTAGTATAGGTTCCCAAGTTGCTTCTGAACAGGTGCAAAGTCTGATGCTGCATCCTCATCCATCATTCCCTCTCATTGTTCACAGACAGCAATAAATCCATTAGAAATGCAGATGTTACTGTGAACCCAGGATTTCAAGCCTGTTAATCCCATTTGGGTTTTCTAGGTTGCTGACAAGTGTTTATTTTAAAATGGGCCACAAAGCTTACCTGGTCCTAGTTTGGCCACAGCATAGAGGAGGTCGTAGTTGAGGACTGGTGTGGCATCGTTGATGGGCTGCCAGCCGACAGGGGGGGAAGACGGGGGCGATATGAGAAATTGTTTGGCAGGCTGGGGTGGAGCCAAGTGCAGTTTGTCTCCATCTGTCTCTGGAGTCTGAACCTTGCAAATAGAGTAGAGATGAAGACACTTATTCATCATGGCTTCAGATGTGTCATTTTGGCACATTAAAATGTGAGTTTGGTTTCAGCCTGTGACAAATGAACCAGACTGTAATAATAATTACCACTTACCACATACCATGTGCTCAATTGCCTTATTTAATCCTGAAAACAGTGGATTTCAATCTTTACTGTATATCAGAATCACCTGCAGTCCTTACTAAAACACAGATTACTGAGCCCCCAACCCCCACATTTCTGATTCAGGAGGACTGAGGGTTTGCATTTCTAATAGGTTCCCAGGCAACGCTGATTCAGCTGCCAGTCCACTGCCCCACTATACACCTGCCAAATGCTTCCTTTTCTCCTTCTCTATTTTCCTCCTTCCTTCCTTGGTGAAATTCACGTAACATAAAATTAACCACTTGAAAGTGAACAATTTAGTACATTCCCAATGTGCAACCTCCTCCTCTATCCAGATCCAACGTCTTTTCATCACCTTAAAGGAAATCCTGCACCTATTACTACCAATACTACCATTACCAGTTACTACCATTCCTGTTTCCCACTGGTCACTGGCAACCACCATGGTGCTTTCTGTCTCTACAGATTTTACCTGTTCTTGGTATGTCTTATAAGTAGAATCACAGAATATATGAACTTTTGTGTCTGGCTTCTTTCCCTTAGTATGTTTTCGAGGTTCATCCACATTGTAGTATACATGAGTAGTTTAGTCCTTTTTATGGATGAATAGTATTCCATCATATGGATATACTATAACTTGCTCATCCATTCACCCATTGCTGGACATTTGTGTGGTTTCCACCTTTTGTCTATTGTGAATAGTGCTGTTGTGAATGTGTGTGTACATGTGTTTGTTTGAGTACCTGTTTTAAATACCTAGGAGTGGAATTGCTGGGTCAGATGGTAATTTGATGCTTAACTTTTCAAGGAACTGAGTGAGGTTTTAAAGACGAGGAAACTCGGATTTGTCCACATCACACACTTTAGAATAGCAGTGATGGAATTTGAACATGGATGCAGGGCCAACGTTGATGTTCTTGGCACTGTGCCATCTCTGTAGAGTCTAAAGGTGGAAAGCATACTTACAAATCACTTAAAAAAATGGATCAAGGTATCTAGTGATGAGGTGAGAGGACTAATGGAACATGATGGGTATTGATTTCTATTGCTGTGAACTTCATAAGCATTGCCAAGAATTGCCCATTTCATTTTGGAACAGCTAGAATTGATTTTTGGATGAAATGAATTAATTTCCATATATTTCTAACCTTTTCTCATAATATGAATCACTGAAAAGTTATACATTCCACTAAAGCTGTCATATAATTTAAGTTTTAATTATAACCTGATAGGAAGGTTAGGAGTAGCTGTGATTAGATCATTCTTATTATAACTACTAGCTGGCATTTATTGTGCATTTACCAAATACTAGGCATTTAAACACAAAATAATTCATGCACTCCTCATAACAACAGTATGAGGAATAGATCTTCATCATCCCCACTTTACAGAAGAGAATATGGAGCCCCAGTGAGGTTGTGCAACTTGCTCTGGCTGCCGGCTCTCAGAGCCTGTTTTCTAAGCCACTAAGCTGCCCCTGTCTGGGAATCATGACGTGGATCTATTTTTCAGTGAATTAATTTATAGACTACCAACCAATCTGAAAGTAGAAAGAGCTTCAATTCACATTTTGAAATGGTAAATATTAATGTAGGACAAAAAAGAATAACTTTGGTAAATAATTACTTTACCTGTGCAAAGTAGAGTTTTAATTTTTTCCCTCTGAATTGGGTTTCATGAAGCTCTATCCTAGCTCGGGCTGCAGATTTAGGATTGCTGAAGTTTATGCGGACACGTCTGAAACTCTTAAATAGCTGGAACGTCACACAGTCATCATAAGTCCGGAACAGTCCCTCAAATTTTTCCTGATAAAAACAAACACAGAGGAAAATTCATTGGTTATATGGCTGGTATGATGCATGTCTGATAAAAACAACTAAAAAAGTGGGCTGTTTTTAATATACAGTTTAAATAGAACACCAGTAATGTGTTTTGTTTTGTTTTTCATCTGTAGATCTGTTACCAGCTGTAAAACATGCCTGTGGATTTAGCTGAAGGATTTATAATCTTGGCGTAAGGTTCTCTAGAGGATCAGTGAATAGGGTTCAAAGTACATGAAACATTTTGAAATTATGCAAAATGTTGAGGATTTCTATAGAGGGGAGGGATTGTAATGATCATCAGATTCTCAAAGAAGTTCATTATCTCCAAAGCACTAGGGCTACTGAATAAAGCACATGGTAAACATTAGTGCTTACCAGTCTTGGGGGCACTTCTATTTTTTTTTTTTTTCTTTTGAGACAGAGTCTCGCTCTGTTGCCCATGCTGGAGTGCAGTGGTGTGATCTTGGCTCACTGCAACCTCCGCCTCCAGAATTCAAGTGATTCTACTGCCTCAGCCTCCCAAGTAGCTGGGATTATAGGCATGCACCACCACACCCAGCTAATTTTTGTATTTTTTTTAGTAGAGATGGGGTTTCATCATATTGGCCAGGCTGGTCTCGAACTTTGGACCTCAAGTGATCCACCTGATTCAACCTTCCAAAGTACTCGGATTACAGGTATGTGCCAGACCAAGAAGGGTGGGCACTTTTCTTGCCTAAAAATATGAGATCCACATCACCCAGTTTCCTAGTCAGGCAGCACCATCTGATTAGTCCTGGTCAGTGAAATATGTGCAGAGAGCAGAAGAAAGCTCTCAAGTAATTTTTCAGTCTCTTTCTCTGAAGAGGCCATGTGTTTCAAATGGTACAGCTGTCAGAAACAGGATTGTCTTCACTCTGGGTCCCTGAGTGGCTGTATGAAGCAGAAATAGTTTTCTCCCTACTCCGACTCCATTCTATAGCCAACTTTGCCTTAGCAAGGAAAAAAAAACATCTCTATTGCATTAAATCACTGAGATTTGAAAATTATTTTATTCCTACAGCATAACCAAACCTATCACAATACAAAGCAATAATTTAAAAATTTAGACTGAATGCACAATTTCAATTCAACTGAATAAGTGTCTATTAAATGCTCACTTTGTATGAGGCATGGTCCCTCTCTAGGCTTTAAGAGGATACAGAGATGAGCATCACATTGCTCTGACTCTCAACCATTTAATATGTGAAGCAGATATTCACAAGTAAGAGAACAACCAGAACACTGAGGAAAGGCAGAACAGGAAAACTAGAGAATTAAAAATATATACATATATATACATATATATCACTGGGGAAAGGCGTACTATGTGTGTGTGTGTGTATGCATGCTAATGCCATCTGTCTAATGTCTGGTTCCTCTTACCGAAAAAATATCCTTATTATAAGAAAACTAGTATATGTTGTAAGCTAGTTTGTTCTTAATAAAGAAATTGCCACTAAGGAAATTATATATAAGCAACCTGATCAATAGTAAAAGGTAATTTCTCATAATAGTGAGTACAAGTAAGAATGGAGATGCATGCAATATTAATACTGCAAGATTCATAGAATTATAACTAGGAATGGACTTAAGAGATGATGAACTCAACCTTTTACTTCTCACCTCCATCATTTTACGCATCAGAACCCTGAGATCTGAAAAGATAAGGACCTACCCATGGGCACATGGAGAGTCAGTGGCAGGGCCATGACCAGGCCAAAGTCTTTGTGACCCTGTCAACTCTATAAAGAATTATACTGTCAGGTTGATAGGAGGAGATGCTTGTTTTAATAAGAGCAAGAGATGGATAGCGATACACTGACCCACGTCTGAAGAGTGACCATATCTAAGAGAATCAACATAGTGAGGTGGGGTTATAAAACCACTGACTTCTGAGGCTGCACAGGAGGAATAACTCAAATGTCAGGGAAGGTCTTCCTGCCTCTTGAGCATCCAGACGAACTTGTCTCAGACCCTCAAGCTCATGTTGGTGATGCTTCCATACCCTGCTGCCCATTTCTGAGAATCCCCAGGCTGCAGCTTCCCCCTTGTCCCTCCCATCTTTGATTCCTGTGTCTGTCCATACTGTTCTCTTTTATACCAGTCCAAGGACCCCAAATAATACAGTCAAAGCCTTTGCTTTTTAAATGACATTTGTGGAGATTTGAAGGGCTCTTTCTGTCAATTTCAGTTTTTTTTTTCTTATTCTCCTATTCCCAAGATGAAAAAAACAAGAATTTTTCCTTGTCTTATGCAGAGCAGGCTTTTTTCCTCCCCTCATCTCTCAAGCCTTGGGATCAGCCAACTCCCAGACTCAGGGCTTCAGCTACCACTCCAAGGAGGCTCATTATGGAATTTTGTGTTTTCCTGATTAGAAATCCTGGTGACTAAAATGCATTCTGTTTCCTCATAATGAGAGTACTCTGAACTGGTCAAATTACAGCTGGTGGTTTGATTAGTTTGGGAAGCTTTCAGGAATAGAAGGAATTAAGAGATTAAAAATTCTTGTTTCTATGTAGAGTATCATTTTTTAAGGACAGAATCCTTGGGTCTTCTTTGTGGCTGGTATGTTTTTCCATTTCCAGGTTGGGAGTTCCACCTTCTCATCACCTCTCCAACACTAAGCATGGGCGGTTAAAGCCAGCCATTGAAAGTGAGCGTGCTTTTTCCTTTGAGTCTAATTCCTTCCTTTTCATTTCATATTTCTTTTTTATGCTTCACATCTCATCTTATCAGAACTGTTTGACCTCAAGTGCCCGCATTAGGAGAAAGAAATCAAAAAGTCCAGGTTTTAGGCTTAGGGGGTGCTGACAATGTGCTAGTGTGTTCTTAATAAAGAGAAATTTATTTTGTGAGGCCTTGGCAGACTTCAAGAACATCTTGTTCCCACTGATCCTCAATAGAGGGCTCCAGGCAACAACTCCCACTGAGTTAGGGTTGGCCATTGACAGGAAACTCTTTGATATTCATTGTTTTGGGCTTAGACCGAGAAACAAAAGAAGCTCTTGCACCAAATCTGGGTGGGCCAGGGTTTTCAGTGGATCATATGGGGCTTAAAGTCCACAATGATAATAATAAACAGCTGACAGTTACTCAGCATGTTCTCTTTTCAGGCCTTTTGGGAACTTTATTTGTAGGGGGTGACCATTGTCCAAGAATGGGGACTTGCTATCCTTTTCTATTTTTGTTTCCATTACTGACAATACAAACATATCATTTGCTGAGGCAACAGGATACCAGACCAAATTAGTTAGAGGCAGATCCAGCACAATGAAGCCACCAGATGTACCTGTAAACAGTGTCACCAAAAGCACTGGCTGTAGGAATTCTCCACCTGCCATTACAGAAAATCTTCTATGGTCTTGATGCCCAGGGACATTCTCACCAGGCACACAATAATAATTTGTCTCCAGTTCTGTTCCCCAACAAATCCAGTAAATTCTTAATTTCTCCTCAATTGTTAGTTCTCTTTGTAGCTTCCTGTTTGAATAAAGTTCTATAGCAGCAATCTCAAGCTCTTTGGTTTTAGGATCTGTTTACACTCTTAAAAATTATTGAGGATCCTAAAGAACTTTTGTAAGTGTGGGTTTTATTTAACAATGCTTATAGTACTAGAAATTAAAACTGAGAAACTTGAAAGTATTTATATATAAATCAATTTAAAAGTAAAAATAATAAGTCCTTTATTTGTTAACATAAACTTTTTAGTGAAAATAACTGTTTTCCAAAATAAGAAAAAATTTTAGTGAGAAGATTGACATTGTTTCACATTTTTGCAAATCTCTCTTTAATTTCCAAATTAATACAAGACTCCTGCAATCTCACATCTGCTTTTGCATTCAATCAGTTTCACCAAGTTGTTTTGACTGAAGGATATGAAGAAAAGATGGCCTCATCCAAATACGTGGTTGAAAAGGGGTGCAGTATTTTAATAGCCCTTCAAATAATTGTGAGTATTCTTCTTGATATCTCATCAAAATTCAACAAATAGTAGTTTCTTAAAGTGTATTACATAATCAAATAACATTTTTATCTAATTTTAAGATCTATTTATCTGTTTTGCACTTTGAATAAATTTTAACCCATACATTGATTTCAGAATAGTATACATTAATCATTTAGAAAATATTGGTTCCCCGAGTTATGTTGGTCTTCCAAAGCAACGAATTTCAGTACTATATTAAAAATCACATTCATTAGTACTATAGTTTGGTGCAAAAGTAATCACAGGTTTTGCCATTATTTTTTATCTACCATCTATCTTATCAAAAAGTCTTTAGAAATTCAAAAGCTGTGGAATTCACATTGGTGGGTAAAAGTTTTCTAAAATTTTAATTTTTGCTTGACAGCTCATTCTTCATTATTGGCAGCACACACTGTCAGTTATTTTTCTTATAGTAGCAGATTCACTTCATTCATTATTTTTGAAAAATTGCCTGCCAAATACCTAAGTCTCCATAACCATACTTTGCTTGTCAGTTGTTTCTTCAAGTAAAAATGGTGTTCCATGAGAAAAGTACCAAGGGCAGCTTAGGACAACTTAGAATGTTTCCTCCGGTCAAACATTGTATTTCAGGATGCCACAGAAGTGCTTTTCATGTGTACTTCCTATTTTGTTTTTCAGAATATTACAAAGGTGTGTGCTTAAGGATAAAGAGTTAATAAAATAAAACATATTGCCTTATCAAGGACATTTCTAAGTAGAATTGGCATTTTCTTTCTTTTTTTTAAACTGTGAGTATGTGGCTGTGAAGAATAGAAATACAGTCATGTACTACATAATGGAATTTTGGTCAACAGTGGACTGATATCTGACTGTGGTGCCGGATTGTAATGCCATATTTTTACCACACCTTTTCTATGTTTAGATATATTGAGATACACAAATAATTATGTGTAACAATAGCCTACAGAATTAGTATAGTAATATGCAGTACAGGTTTGTAGCCTAGGAACAATAG